TTTGCTATACTCCAAACCCTAGTGAAACCCTCTCAAATTTAAAGATTAAATTCATTCTTTTCTAGGGAAATATTCAAAAATTCCTGAAAGCACTGTTCATTGTCCTCAATATGTTCGATGAAATGCCCAGCCCAACACCCTTCCAATCTTTCACAAAGTTTAGGTTTGGTCCTTGGGGACCACAACCCACTCAAAGCCGTGGTTTTCTTTGCCTTCTCCTCCCCTTTGCACGCGTTGCCTGGCGTCCGACTTTACCGCGCGCCGAGCCACCGCGCGTTGGCTTCGGGGCCGTTCGCGCGTCCCTAGCTGCCTTGGCGCGCCGTCAGCCATTCGACGTCCTCAGACCACCGCCGCCGCACCAATCGTGACGAAGACGAAGCTGGGACGACCTCTGCCGCAAGAAATCGCCGCTCGACGCCGTGCACACCAATCCAAACTTGCCGCCGAGTTCGAATTCGCTTCTACCCTAGGTGAATCGTGCCAAGACTTGCCGCACGGTTGGATTGAAGATAAATGATGACTTCCCCTCTCACAATTCAAACCAATCACCACTATGCCGGCCGTTTTAACCATCGCCGCCGCCGCGCGTCGTGCTTGGATTGGCGCCAACACATCGCTAGCCGATTCCACCCGCGGTTAAATCAATCCTTCGCTAGTAAGTATTCGAACGTGGCCTCCTGCCACTCAAATTGATCTTGCCTGCCCTCTCACAGCCCTCTGCCACCCCTGCCATACCCAAATACCGAGCTCATCAACGGTAATGATGGCGTTCGAGCTCATCCGTTTCCCCTGGCCCTATAAATAGGACCCCAATCCTTTCCTTGTTCACCATCGATCATCATCAACCATAACCCCACAACCCCGAAGCTCTGCTTTGCCAATCCATCTCATCAACCACTCTCTCCCGTCGGTCGAACACCTTGTGCACGATCGACTTCACATCCCTCCATCCATCCTCCACCCTAAATAATCCTTAGAACACCTTATTTCAACCATGTTCTAGTATACTGAAGCCTAATCGAAGCCATGTGTCGAGCTTCACCTCGTCGCACCAAGCCGAGCAGTGCCGTCCCTGCTCTGCTCTGTTCTTTGCCGCTAAGAAGTTTTTCCAACCGCAATTCGTCGTTTCAACCGATCTCGGTGAGTTCTTCCGTTTTAACCATCTACATACCCCCTAGAGTCCATTTTTGCAATTGGTTTGCACTGCCATGCCACCCTATGGGCTGCCGACATGAGCACAACCGCGGCCAATGGAGGCACTCGTCGGCAAGTACCCTCTACACCTTGCCGAAGGTCGGCAAGCTACCTAAACCCTTCTAGGTATCCCGTAGATGCTCTTGGATCCCTCCCCAGCCATGTCTAACTCTCACCACCCCGATCACCTTCACTGCCTAACCATGTCACCGCCACCCTAGCCGCTAGACCACCCACATACCAAATTAGCCCCTCCGCCGCCGCTTGCCGTTGCCGGAGAACCCTAGCTACCTCCCCTTCCTGGCCGCAACCCCTTTCCCCCTCTATCGCCGCCGCAATAGCTAACCCTAGCGCCACTGGCCGCAAATGGGGAACGGCTGGACATTGAAGAAGAGGAGAGAGAGAGAGAGAGAGAGAGACTGACCGGTGGGACCCGCACACATTATCATTTCACATTTAATTGATTTTTAAACTTCAGAAGCCCATATCTTTTGAAATATAGATCCAATTCCAGTGAAACTTGGACCAAAATTCTTATAAAATTATTCTCTATCTTTTGAGACCACTTTTGCTATTTTTCTATTTTATTTTATTTTCCCTATTTTTCCTATTTTTGGATTTTATTTGAATCCCTTTTGAATTTGAATTTTATATGTCTAACCCTAGGTCTTGAGGATTCTTCTGACACTAGATAATATCAATCAATCTTAGGACATCGAGCAAGGCAAGTTACTATTTACCTTTTGATCATTTAAGCCTATATTTTACAAACTATTTATTTATAACCTTTCCATTCAATATGCTATTTTATTATGCATAATTCAATCATAGAAACCCAGATAATCTAGTATTGCTTATTTTGCTTACAATCTGGTAAAATATATCTTATACTTAGATTGGGACAATACGATAGAATTTGATGATTTCCGGGTGGCTAGTACTGTCTCGATCGATATAATTATCACCAGGTACTTATGTCGAACGAATGGTACGACCGTAGTTTCTAGAATGGGGACAAACCTATTATTATGTTACTTAGCAATGTGGTACCTCTGTATAGTGGTTCTTATTTTTAAGTCCTTGAGTAGGAGGCAACTATAGCCGCGAAGGGCAAATTTTACCATTACCATGTACAGGTAAATGGTTTGTGATACTCGAGTATAATTATAATGGTAATTCTAAACCCTGATCGAAATGACGTAGTGTAATACGATCAGATCCCCTTAAATATCCCGGGAATGCCAGAACTCCTCTCGCTGCTGTTAACGTCACGCTCAGAGCACATGAGGATATAAGTTCATGAAACAGGTACCACAATTGTTAATAACCTAATACTGGGCCATAACTAAAGCCGATGTTTATCAGCAAGTCGTGGACTGCGGGTAAAGCGTACATCTGATGTAGTAGAATATTTATGAAACTATTCGAATAGCTGTACTCACGGAATTGAGTACCGGGACACATATGGTATCCTGGTTAGAAACCTAAAGTCTACAACTTTATAAACTCTTGCTTCTATACTTCCAGATTGTTTATTATTGGCTTTTGCAAAGAACTCTACTATATGCCAATGCATAACATATTTCCATAGTAACTTGCTGGGTATTGTGAATACTCACCCTTGCTCGTATAACCCCTTTTTCAGATTTGGGTCAAGAGAAGGACCCCTATGATTATTACTACGATGACCCTGATAACTTAGAAAATCTCTGGAGGTTATACCTCCCTAGTCAGAATGTATAAAAACTTCCGCTGTGTAATAGTCTTACTTATGTTTAATTAGGTGAATACCTACTATTGTAAAATCCCTTAGTATTGTAAACTTTAACATATGCAATGAAGAACCAGCTATATTGTATGTATAAATATTTACTGATCCAGGGATTGATACATTAATTCCAGTCGGATCCAAGTCATTAGTTTTGGGACCCGACAGGACCTCGCCTCCACCAGATCCGGCGGCGTGGAGGCAGCTGCGGCCCAGTGGGGGTGGGAGGGGCAGCGGGCCGGACCTCGCCTCCGCCAGATCAGGCGGCATGGAGGCGGCTGCGGTCTGGCGGGGGCGTCGTCTCTTTCTCTCTCTCTCTGTGTGCGGCGGATGGCATGGTGGCAGTGGAGGTTCATGTGTTCTTGGTTGAAAGTTTTGTTATGTGTGTTCTTGATGGAATGTTTCATGTGTGTTCTTAATGAATTCCGACTGGGATTTTTCTTTGGGGGGGGACAAAAAAATCCCCGCACAGATTTGTTTTTTCAATTTTTTTCCATCGCTATTGCTAACCAAATCGGATTGCGTATGGACGAAAACACGGTGATGATTGTGGTAGTGATTTGGTTGTGCCGATTTTGGGAATTGTTTCCCTCGTATCCGATTCTGAGAGGAATTGGGATTCGGGGGCTGCGGGCGAAGGCGCACCGCGAGGGACAAAGGCGCCCTTCGTCCGACCTGTGACGATAGGAAAAATCCGAATATTTATATTAGTTATAGATATACTTTGTATACAACTATTCGTATCAATCTATACCATTGTAATTGGTCCCACCACCCGGCGGTTTAGATTTTATTTTTTTTATTAATGTGGTCTTACTTTTGGATATTTATAGATTATATTTTACTATACTCTTCTTGGTATATGTAGGATTTACTTGTTTAATTATTTTTTATAACTCTTCAAACATACTAGGTGTTGGATACTTAGATGGTTCTATCATTGTGTTAGAAAACAGCAAATCTTGATTTCTTATCATTTTCATGATTCTTTTGAAGACTACTAGTATCATTGGTAAAAAAAACTTTTAAATCACCCCCTTACACCTTTTGAATTAGTGATATGTGATCATGATTTTCATAAAGACGGATGAAAAGATATATGAGTTCCACCAAGGCTTCCATCTAGTTTATTTGAGTTATTTTTGAGGAGATTTCTATCAAATCTCGTCTTTGTTTAGTATCTTTAACAACCATTTGTCAAACAAGCATATTTTCTTCGGCGTCAAGGTCTTAAATACCTAAGCCACTCTGACATAGGAATCTCTCTCTCCCATTTATCCATGAAACTCTTTTAATCACTCGAGTGTGGACACCCACTTATCTATAGCATCAACTAAATGATTATAAAAAAATCACAAAAAATTGATAAGATATATTAGTAACTAATATATCACTCCATAAGGATGGAAATTCAAATTTGATTTCTACAAATTATAACAAAAACAACAAGTTTGACTGTGAATATATGTGTACTAATTATAATTTAATTTGTTATTTTTTTACAACTCATAGAAATCGATTTGAACTTGCATGCTTGTAAATTGATATATCACATATTAATCTATCTTGATATTTTTTAAGGATTTTTTAAAATAATTATTTAGTTGACATACTCACATACAATAGATAAGTCAGATGATTAGAATCATTCTCCCGTTTATTTATCATTGGTGGCACTTTGCTAGACAAATATAGATAAGAAAACACTATACCAGATCAGATCACCTCTGTCGAACTCAAACCCTCAGCTGTGACGAGTCCGAATCACCTGTGACGGGTGAAGGCCGGTCCGATGCAAGAGTCACCTCTAACGGCCTTACGTGCTAATGAGAATGAGACACCGTGCGTGACAAATGATGCCAACATGTATGAAGCTCTGATGACTTAAAAGAATACAGATTGCCAACATGTATACCCGTCGGATTAGTTGACCGTGAAATAATTCTCCGTCAAGCAAGGTTGCTCATTGGGGACTCACCAATCATCACTTCACCTTAGCTACAAGCTACAGCGACAAATCACTTATATATATGGAGATCAAATGAGCTAAGTAAGAGTGATTAGAAGCAACTCAAGATGGCAACGTTGTTCAGAAACCTATCACTAGTGCTAACCATTAGCTTCTTGTCGTGTCACTACCTCTCCGTCACTTCGCTTGCCTCCTCCGATGGCTTCGTGCGGTGTCTCCTGCAGAAGATCCCCGGAGAGCTGGTGCTCACGCCGAGCTCGAGCAGCTTCGCCGACGTGCTCGTCTCCTCCATCCGGAACCCCATGTTTTTCAACAACGCCACGGCGAGGCCGCTCTGCATCGTCACGCCGGCCGACGCGTCGCACGTCCAGGCCGCCGTGCTCTGCGGCCGCGCCGAGGGGGTGCGCCTCCGCGCGCGCAGCGGCGGGCACGACTACGAGGGCCTCTCGTACCGGTCCGCGCGCCGCGGCGAGGTGTTCGCGGTGGTCGACCTCGGCGCCAGGCTCCGCGCCGTGAGCGTCAGCGGCGGGGGCGACGCCACGGCGTGGGTGGAGTCCGGCGCGTCGCTCGGGGAGCTGTACTACACCGTCGCGAAGAGCAACCCGGGGCTGGCGTTCCCGGCCGGCGTGTGCCCGACCATCGGCGTCGGTGGCCACCTCAGCGGCGGCGGGATCAGCATGATGTCACGCAAGTACGGGCTCGCCGCCGACAACATCCTCGACGCCAAGCTGGTGAACGCCAACGGCGAGCTCGTCGACAGGGCCGCCATGGGGGAGGACCTCTTCTGGGCGATCCGCGGCGGCGGCGGAGAGAGCTTCGGCATCGTGGTGTCCTGGAAGGTCCGCCTCGTGCAGGTTCCGACGACGGTGACGGTGTTCGTCGTCGGGAGGAACGTCGACCAGGGCGCCGCCGACGTCGTCGCCAGATGGCAAGACGTCGCGCCGAGCCTCCCTCCCGAGCTCACCATACGGGTGATCGTGCGAGGGCAGCGCGCCACGTTCCAGTCGCTGTACCTCGGCTCGTGCGCCGACCTGGTGCCGACGATGAGCAGCATGTTCCCGGAGCTCGGGATGACGAGCGCCGACTGCCGGGAGATGAGCTGGCTGCAGTCGGCGGCGCTCATCCAGTTCTGGAACCCAAGCACGCCGGTGGAGGCGCTCCTCAACCGGAGGACCAGCCTGAGCACCTTCACCAAGGCCAAGTCCGACTACGTCCGGCGAGCCATCCCGTCGGACGTGTGGAAGAACATCCTCCCGTGGTTCACCATGAACGGCTCCGGCCAGATGCTCCTCGAGCCGATGGGCGGGTTCGTCGGTGGCGTCCCCGCCGCGGCGACGCCGTACCCGCACCGGAGCGGCGTCCTGTACAACATCCAGTACATCGCGTACTGGTCCGGCGACGGAACGGCGGCGAACAGGTGGATCAGTGGCCTGTACGCGTTCATGGAGCCGTACGTCAGCAGCGACCCGAGGGAGGCGTACGTGAACTTCCGGGACCTGGACATCGGCGAGAACGCGGTGGCGCCGAACGACGTGAGCACGTTCGAGAGCGGCAAGGTGTGGGGGGAGAAGTACTTCGCCGGCAACTTCGAGAGGCTCGCCGCGGTGAAGGCGGCGATGGATCCGACCGACTACTTCAGGAACGAGCAGAGCATCCCGCCATTTGTTGGTCCAAAGCAAGTGAAAAAAGCTTAATTTGGGCTTAATTTGACGCAAGGTTGGTTGGTTGCGTGTACCGCCTTTGTGTTCGGTTCTTGGTGAACTCTTATATTATTACGTGGACATGTTCTGTTGACTGTTGACAGTCTTTCAGAGTTTTTTTTTTGGCAAATTTTACTACAGACCATTCGACTTCAATAAATATGGTAATTTATTAATGGACACTGTGTCGATTAGAATAATAATTTCTAGTTAAAAAGAAGAAAGAAATCATGTGAAATATCAAAAATACCCTTAGGTCAATATGTCAGCTTTCCTATCTCTCTTGTGTTCTCTCTATCTTCTCTCCTAGTGGAGCCAGCGGACGGCGCGGTAGTGATCTCCAAGCCGGGAGCATGCCGGCGGTGGTGATCTCCAAGCCAAACCTCGCCCGCCCCGCGCTCACCACCAACGACGCCGTGCTGGCGTCGCGCCAGCACCTGCTCAACGGCTAGTTCCTTTCGTTCGGGGTGCTCCGACGTCACGTTCGCGCCGGCGGGGCCGTACCACCGGATGTCCAGATGGCGCGAGGGGTGGAGGTGTCAGAGCTCCTGTCGGCACACCACGTCGCCATGTACGGCGTTGTCAGGGTCAAGGAGCTCCAGCGCCTCCTCGCGCACCTCACCAAGAACACCTCGTCGGCAAAGCCCATCGACCTCAGCGAGTGCTTCCTCAACCTCGCCAACGACGTGCTCTGCCGCGTCGCGTTTGGCCGCCGGTTCCCGCGCGATGAGGGCGACAAGCTCAGCGCGGTGCTCGCCAACGCGCAGGACCTCTTGCCGGGTTCACCATCAGCGACTTCTTCCTTGAGCTCGAGCCCGTCGCCAGCACCGTCACCGGACTCTGCCACCGCCTCAAGAAGTGCCTCGCCGACCTCTGCGAGGCCTGCGACGTCATCGTGGACGTGCACATCAGCGGCAACCGCCAGCGCATCCCCAGCGACCGCGAAGAGGACTTCGTCGACGTCCTCCTCCGTGTCCAGACAGAGACAAGTGGAGAGATAGGAAAGATGACACGTGGGTTAAGGGCATTTTTAACATTTCACGTGATTTCTATATGCTATTCAACTAGAAATTATTATTTAAATCGGCGCGGTATCCATTGACAAATTACCATGTTTATAGAGTGTTTTCTCCTAAAAATGAGTTCGGGCGGTGTCATACGGCTAAAACCATAAAGTCGAAATGTCCTTTAGCAAAATTTGCTTTTTTTTTTTATAACACATGCCTATGCGAAGCTGGCTCGTCATCCTACAAAATGCAGCACTAGCTTACAAGCATTTTGCGTATATTTTTATCATTGTCATTAAGGTTTTACCATACGTCTGAATTAAGTCTTTTAAAATATTCATTTTTCTTCTAAAATAGAAATGGTTAAGGGGAAAGTGGTTCGCGTGACGCACCTTCACGAATGTGCACCCCGGCAACCCTTTTTCGCAACCGCATTAATGTGTTGTTATAGTGTGTTTCCTTTACATGTAAGTTTGTACATAGAAAATTTTATAGAAAAACTTCTACACCTAAAAATTTATAAGAATAAATTATACAATGAAAATTTAATTTTTAAAAGTTCCAAGGTAGATATTCTTTATTCACTTAGAATATTTTTGAATGGATTTTTTACATACATGGAAAGTTTTTTGGTAGAAGTTTTTATTTATGTATAATATTTCTGAGTAGAACTTTCTTTTGTCCTTTAATTAGTATTTGTTGTTCTTTTTTCAAACTTACATTTTGAATTTATTTGAAATTCATCTGCGTGGACTATACGTACTTGTTGTGGGGAATGATTATGAGGGGAAGATGTTTACGCCGTCACACACCACGAGTCCACGACAACCAGGGCATTATAGACCTCCAACTAAAAAAAACCTACGTTTAAAAGCATTGTGTAGAATTTGCATATAAAAATTAATTTTTTTTAGATAATGGAATTTAACATCTCAGCCTTTGCTAAAAGAGCTACAGCCAATTATTACAAAGTAGCACTCCAGAAAAGAGTGTAGTTCCGATAAATAGAACACACCAAACAAAAACAGAATAAGGAGAACGCATTTATTGAAGTCTGTTTGTGAATCTCCATCCATAATTAGCAAATAGTTGCATAACCGTCGACTCCAACTTGCGACATGCAACCATAAGGAATTCCCCATCATCCTCACACCTTTGTAGCTGTGCCCAAAACCGGAGCCAGTGCATTGCCCTGAAAATTACCTGCATATATGAAATAGATGGTGATTTGTCAAAAACCAAATCATTTCTACTCAACCATAGAGCCCGACAAATGGTAGAAGCTTCAACAAGTATCAGTTTAGTCTTTTTCTTGTCAACCCCCAAAAACCACCCATAAAAAATATGAGATATACTGATTAAAACCAAAAGAAAACCGAACTGCTCTCCATATGAACTTTGTATAATGACAATACATGAAGAGATGTTGAATAGACTCATTTTTCATACAAAAGCAACACCTTAAGCTACCATTACAATTCCGTCTCGTCAAATTATCCTTGGTTAACATAACCCCCATAAGCAAGTACCACATAAAGATCTTAATCTTAAGCGGCATCTTAAGTTTCCAAATATACTTGTTCCTCTCAACATAACCATTGTTAATTAAAGCTAGATACATTGACCTTACTGAGAGCCTACCATTCTAATGGAAGTTCCATCTAAAATAGTCAGAAGAAAGATTCAATTGAATATGTACCATAGAAGCACACAATTCATACCAGTATACAAGATTCTGACCAACTAAACCTTTTCTAAAAGAAAAATTAAGTGGAACAGATCCTATAACAATGACAATAGAGGATGATTTCCTTCAAACTATAGCATATAAAGATGGATATTTATCCTTGAAAGCCAAGTTACCTAGCCATTTATCTTCCCAAAATCTTATTTGTTCCCTATCATTCACGATCCAAGAACCCAGATCTAAAAAGTACTTTTGACTTTCATGAGCCCTGACCAAAAATGGGAATCACCTTGTTTCTTGTCAACTTGGGTTATATAATATAATAATATGTAAAGATTTTTCCATATAATTATTTATAACATTCCTAAGGATAGTTTGGGTAATATAAAGGCGAGAACATACGTCCCGTGCACACAAAACTTCTCATGTACACATCATGTACAACAACTAACAAATATTATAAAAAAAATCTTAAAAAAATTTAGATGAACTTCCAATAATATTATACTTATGTGTAAAGTTTTAACCCCTAATTCATTATATTTTAGCCATAACAAAAAAAATAATTTTTTTACAATTTTGAGAGTATAAATATGTCATATTTTTGTATTTTTTTCTCCCCCTATCTTTACCTATTATAAAAGTTTAATATGTTTTTGCCATGTATTTTCGTACATCGTCCCAGTATAATGTGCGCACAGTCTGATACCCTCCCCATACGCAAAACAGACTATGAATCTGAAACTCTAGGGTTTGTTATAGGGCTATTCCGAGGTTGATACAATGCGATTTTGCTCTAATTCTTGAGAAAACAGAAAGAGAAGGAGATAAGGATCAAAACCCCTCAATAAATTTTGGAATATATATATCTCCGTGTATGTGGACGGATTTCACTGAGGACGCGGCTTCCGGTGGTGTTGGGAAAGTTGCGAACTCGGACGGAGGTAGGGGATGACACTGTAGCTTTAGAACCCATGTGACAGTGAGAGGAGGAGCAGGGATGGTGTTTAGGCTTTACGGTTGCTTGATGGGTGATGGTATTTCTTAATGACATTGCCAGAAATATAATTCCCAGCAATGGCGCAGAAACACTCCTGGTATATTATGGTTACAGAGTCTATCCGCAAGCGCACGAATATACTATTGTAGCATTTCACCCGAGAGTATTTCAAGGGTATCATATTTATTTTATCCCGTAAGAAGATCATGTAGAGAGAACTTGAGTAATAATTTATATATTACTTGTGATAACCATATTCTAAGTAGGGGTTAAGATAATCCAAGGGGTAGAGTGACACACAAGAATTAGCTACTCATTCTCATAATATATTATCTAAGCTAACTGGAAAGAAAAGAGAAAGAGAATCTATTCCTATACTTCTAGTATACATAATATACATACATTCTAGTTAACCGATATACTAGCTAATACCCTCTATCTGATGCTCCCCTGGTACTTTGAGAAGCCATCCCTAACTGCCGAGTTCCTTACGACAGCCCGTCATGACCATAGAACCGGGGCTAAATACTAAGGAATACCCTCTCCAGGGAATTAACTTTGGATTATATACAGGCGCAGAAGAACACCCGTACTGAGCTGTCACCATCAGCGGCCCACCTCTCATCCGCAGCATATAACCCCAAATAATGATATCCCGTAATCTAGACACCACATCTAAACTACCAAATACTACTCTAATATCATCGTCATGACATAGAGTAATTGCATAGGCAAACATTATACCCGCACCAAAGCATGTCCCAGATAAACTAGCCATATATTCAGTATAACATGAACATAATGTAAAGTAGACATTCATATAGTCGGAAAGTATTTCAATACCATAAATATATAAAGAAGAGTGTTCTAATGAAAGTACAAAGCTTACAAAGAGAAGAGAAAAGCTACTAGAGCCATACCCGAACTCTTCCGAAGGCTTCCGGACTCCTGATTTCTACTCTATTCCTATTCCACCAGCTAGATACTACTAAACTAAACTTGAGAGAAACGAGAGAGCTCTTACTTGAGGTGTGTCTTGAAGTGAAGAGAGTGAACTCCTTTATAGGCAGGTATGACGGTTGTAACCGCTGCGAAATGTCTGAAGTACCCCGCAACCGCCATCAGGAGAAGATCTGGAGCGTCCCTGCCAAACCCCACATCCAACGGTGGAGAGGGAGATTCGGCCGAACCCTGGTTCGGCCGAACCTGGGGCCGACCCAACCAGCCCATGGTTTGGCTGGCGGCCTCCTCTGTTATTCTTCTCTGCAGACTTGTGAATTTTGGCTCAGTTTGTCGTGTCAATTCTAAGTTCTTGGCCCATTCATACATAAGTCTGGTTCTCGACATTGTCCGATTGATTTATCGTTTGTGTTAATGTCGATTCTCCTCAACTTTATGGTTATTCTCTGAAAAAACTTAGTATACCTAATACTAGTGGAATATTATTATTCTAACACATTTATGCATTGCAAGCATCACTAG